TCCCCTTTGACGCACTTGGTGATCTCAAGAGTCCATGGCGACAGTAGAGCATTGTCCTGGGCACAGTGGTTAGTCGGATCCAGCATCTTCGCAGATTTTGATGATCCCGCTCCACCACACAGCCCACTGAACCAACCGTCCCTGCAAGGCTGTGGATACGCCAAAGTAGAATGTCGGGTCAACACATGGATCGGACGTCCGACCAAGGCATTGTAATTAAGATCTTGGATTCGCAGCAAGGCTAGTACCTACTTCTCCGCGATACCATAATTCAGCTCATTTGACTTCAAGGTACGGCTCGCAAACATCACGGAATAGTAGATCTTGTCATACTCCTGCACCAACGATTCTGAAATGACCCAGTCACTAGCATACACCACGTCGATCTGGATCAAAGTGTCGTAAGATCGGAGTGGTGGCGATCTTGGACTGGTTTTAAGCACGTTAAAGGACCGATGGGCATGGATCCAACGCGGATCCACCTCAATAGGGCCGGACGCCTCCAGATACAAGGCCTTTCGGTGGTCACCACTCCGGTCTCCCTGCGATCCTTGATCTGCGTCCTCCATCAGTGAGGTCTTGCGCCTCCAGATCCAGAGTCCTTTGGTGGTCGATCATTTGACCCTCCTGTGATCCTGGATCCACATTCTCCGCCTCCAGCACTTGTTGGATTTGTGCTTGGGTGGTCTCTTTCATCATCGCAGCAAAGTCGATTCTCGTAATTCATACAGAACTGACGCGTAGATCGCGTAATCTTCGATAAATCGGCGGTAATAGGTCAGACTTCCCAAAAATGACTGCATGGCTCGAAGTGATCCAGGGAATGCTAGATCTGTCAGCGCCGACAGGCCTTTTGGATTCGCCTCGAGACCGTTGTGGGAGACCTTATGACCCAGATATTCCACTCTAGGCATTCCTCAGAAACTCTTAACCACATTGATCGACACATTCCACTTATCGCACGCTTCGAGTAGACCTTCAACTCGATCACATAGTTGATCCCAGTTATTGGCTGGGATCAGGATGTCGTCGATGTATGATATACGCCCAAGCACCGATGTATTGCCTGTATCCACCGGTCTTCTGCGACCAAGCACCGATGGCTTGCCTGGATCCACCGGTTCCCCGTCATCAAACACATCCAAAGTACTTTGGTGATCTTCAGACTTCGGGATCCGGGTGAACCCATATAGTGCGTTGTCGATCATACGTTGATAGATCTGGGGCACATTCTTCAAGCCAAAAGGCATTCGATTCCACTCAAATAACCCAAAAGCAGTGATAAAAGCCGAGATCAAACGAGCACGATCTGTCATTTTCACTACCCAAAATCCGCTCGCCATATCCAAAGAACAGTATCAGAGTGTTGACTCCAGATCTTCGAGTAGGTCGTTGATCAAGGGCATTGGGTAGATCATCAGTTGAGTTAGACTATTAACCAACCGGTAATCGATGCACAACTTGATATCCACTCCGTTCTTCTTGATGATCACCACGATCGGGGAGCCCACGGTGATCTAGAGTAATTGATCATCTTGGCAGAGAGCAGACCCTTGATCAAGTCTGCCAGCTTCTCCCTGAACTGGGATCCGCAGCTTACGACACTTCAGGGCGATTGGCCTCGCACCTCCGACATCGATGTCGCATACAACACCTCTGGCCGCCGGCGGAAGGGCATTTCCTTTGCCGATCAAGAGGTGTCGGAACTTCCAGATCCTTTGGCGAAGCCGATCAATTTCTCCTGGGGTCTGGCTATCAGATGCATATAGCTGAATGTCCTCGATCTTCACATCTTCCGTCGTCACAGGCACTTCTGGCAGTACCGCCATCTGACCGTCGACATCTTCCGCGTACAGATCGCGTCCTTCATTGTAGTACACACATTCATCGTAATATTAATCTGAGTCCCAGCTGAGGTCCAGATCCGACGTGCCTGGTTGATCTTCAACAACAGGTGATGGATCCATGTCCGTTTTTGCGACATAGATGCGACGCACTTGTCGTCCAACGGATCACTGGCCACATGTCCCGTCCCAGATTGTACACTCATCATTGATGACGGATATGATCCACCGCATTTCGACGGCGATGTTCCTTGATCCTGACATCTCGAATGTAGTTGATCCTGGTTGGCGGCCCCAATTCCATCTTGATTTTCTTCTTCTCGTGTCTACTGCATTTGTAGTTTCCCCCCAACGACGGATCAGTCACCCACACGCCTGGCGTTACTTGATCGAGATTTTCTAGCGCCTCCTTGACCGTTACGACATGTGATATAGAGTCTTCATCTGCGATAGACGACAGATCTGACTCCTCATTTGCGACAGACGCTAAATCCAGCGGTCGAGTTTCCGACGGCGATTTGTCCGAAGGTAGACAGTCAGAAATATCTTGATCTTGGCCCGCCTCGACCTTCCGACACTGGATCGACGTCGTCTTCGGTCTCTGGAGTATTACGCGCGGAGTTTCGTCCTCGGATCGCTCCACCGCGGGTGCGACCGGGATCTTGATCTCCATATCTCCGGATCGAGCGTCAGTCGTGGCTTCTAAGGCTAGATTTTTCCACTCCATGTAACGACGAGACCCGATCGAGATGAAGCCTGGTATTCGTGGTACGTGGTCTCCGGCCAGCCAGATCCCGATCCGTTGGTCTTGATGCAGGATCAATACCTCGTCCCCGATGTTGGTGATCGATATATACTTCGTCCTCCCTAGTCCATCGGATATTGTCGGCACCTATCGGTTCCCACGCGTGACCCCCAGCTTGTCGTGGATCGACGACCTCAGGCGCAATGGCAGTTCCACCAACTCTCCTGCTTGGATCCGAAGGTATGGATCGACGTTTACGATCTTTGCCTTGTCACTATAGAGCTGCCGTCTCCAGCTAAGCTGGATCACCCAGTCGAGCGTCGAGAACCGTGTATAAACATGTATGGTCCGACCTACCAGTTGCGTATAGCATGCCTTCAGCAACAGCAACAGGGCTAACACCTCTTTCTCCGCTGGATGATAGTTCATTTCCGCGTCCTTCAGCACCCTGCCGCAGAACCGAACTGGGTGTAATTTCTCGTCATGCTTTTGCAATAACGTCGAACTCAACGCCCACTCATTTGCGAACAGCGTTACATACACTGGTTTGGCTCGGTCGAAATGGCGCAGAATCGGTGCTTCGACAACCTTCTGTTGTAGAATTGTGAAACTTCGTTTCGCTGCGTTTAAGTTCTCGCCTCCACCGAAGTCTTCGTCCTTCACTTGGTACAGCGCGGCCGCATACACTGTGAAATCCTGAACAAACCGACTGTAGTAATTCAAGGCTCCCAGGAAGGATTGTATACATTTCTTGGTTTTCGGGAATGGCAGCTCCGCGACCGAATTCATCTTCTTCACGTCGGCCTGTATGCCGTCCGGTGACACTGTATGAGATAAAAAATCTACCCGAGGATGCACGAATATGCTTTTTTTGAAGCTCACGCTAATGCGACATTCCGTAAACCGTTGTAGAAGCCGATCGAGGATTGACAGACACCCTTCGAACGTCTCCCTCCCGAAGCATATGTCGTCTACAAAAGACCGTCGACCGAATACGGGTAATGTGTCCAAACACCCTTCGAACGTCTCGCTCCCGAAGCATATGTCGTCTACAAAAGACCGTCGACTGAATACGGGTAATGTGTCCAAACACCCTTCGGTGTGGCGAAACCTCACAGCGCGTTATCAATCATCCGTTGGTAAATCATTGGTGCGTTTTTGAGGCTGAATGGCATGCGTAGCCACTCGAAATGCCCCAATGCACACACGAAGGCTGATACATTGCGAGCCCTGGAGCTCATCATGATGGCCCGAAATCCGCTAGCTGCATCGAGCAAACAAAACCAAAGGTAACCTTCCATATCAGTGAGAAGGTCGTCCACTAGCGGCATAGCGTACTCCATAATAGCAGTTACTGCGTTCACCATCTTGTAATCAATGCACAATCGGATGTCAACGCCGTTCGTTTTTAGAACAATCACGATCGGTGACGCTCAAGGGCTGTCCGAGAAAGTTATCAGTCCCGCACGCAGCAGTCCTTTCAAAAGCTCGTACAGCTTACCGAGATGCCGGAGGAGTGTCCGTCGGGCCTTTTGCTTAATGGGTGAATGTTCCTGCACGCGAATGTCGCAGACGACACCATATGCGGGTGGAGGCAACGCATTCCCACTCGCAATCATAATCTTTTCATGCTTCTTCAGCACCTCCACTAGCCCGGCAGATTGGTTCTCGGACAGTGCTGGATTCCGTACGTTGGGGGAGGAATAGTCCAGGTTCGTCATATCCGGTTCCGTCAGTTCCGGTAAGAAAGCAAGTTCATGTGCATAATTGGTGAGTTCCATCTCGTTGGGGAAGTGTTCGACTGCCTCGTCGTACCTACCTGTCCTGACCTCTTCGGTTATTTCGTGCATTACCGACACATCGTGACTCACTCTTGAGGGTCTTCTGATCTAGGTGTCACCATATGCGAGTCATGCATGTATGGGGTTCCCTTTGATCCGAATACCCCGTCCTCCGTATTCCTATTCCGTTGCTTCATGGGTGTCATTGGTAGTGGGACCTGTGACGGGTCTGTTGGTCCGGCTGCCTGTCGGGCCCTCACCTGACGACCTGGGGCGATTTCTTCAATGCCGAACGCTGCCCTAAGCTTCTTCTTCCACTTGAGGAGTGCCGTACCGGCATCGGCAGCCGTCCAATCATTCAGTGCGACTTCCGACGGGAACATCTGAGGTTCACACCCCATAGCTCGGAGGAGTAGCACTGAATCTTGGGCGACTTGCCAGGTGCTTGTGGAATCAACTGGTACCACGAGCTCGGCTCCGAGATTCATCCACACCGCTTGCCTGACTAATTTTGGACCGAATATCGGGAACCAACTGCTCTTCGCTCTCATGAGCTCTAGCGTCCGTCCAAGAACCTTGTTGGCGGCCGCCGTGTCTCCATTGATCGGCGGTCTAGTGTCAGACGTCCGGGAAGTTCTTTTCCCAGTCGCCGTCGACCTCGTTCCTCCGGTCAACCCTTCGTCGTCGGAATCGTTAGCAGGTTCCGGACCCGCCACTTCTTCCAGCTCTTCGGTGAGATTGCGTGCAAGCGGTCTCACCCCTGTGCTGTGACCTGCGGATATCACTGCACCTTCTGAAAGTTCGGCCACGTGAGATTTCTCTTCCAGGTAACCTTCCTCGTCTTCTTTGGCGTCAGAAAAGGCAACTTGTGGGTCAGGAGGCGAGGTCTGGTCGCGCATGGGGATGTTTCTGGTCATTGTGGCCACGACAAGAGTCCAGGCACGGGTGAGAGACTCTGACGGGGCGTCGCACAGGCAGGGGGAGAATCTGAAAATGGACGCCAACCAGACGATCGCAATTTCAGAAATATGGTTTTTGAAAAAACTGGAAGGCGCACAAAATATCATCCACAAAATACATGTCCCTTTTTCAACAAAAAACTTGGTGATCCTAGACACTTCCTTACCTTATGTCCAAACAAATTTATTAACCTTTCTAACATGATTACCCGTTACAATCAATTCGGTCATATCTACTATTTAGCACAGTTCGCGATGCTGCCTCCTCTCCATATCCCGTTTCTATGCGAGGAATTTCCATATCTCAGTGCGAATCACTGAGGTACCCAAAATAGATTGTGATAAGTAGAAGCACTGAGTCAGTGCTTGAGAATAATATTACTTCAGTATTAGTAACATGTTGATATATTAGCCTGCATTACGAACTACAACATTGCTTCGTCGTGAAAGCCCTGTAGACGAGCGCCTTTGTTAGGTAGATTTAACCACTTGCCAATTTACGATTTAAGGTCGATGTCTTCTGTTCTACGCGTCACGCACAAGAAACCTGGGCGGGCGAAAAGCCGTAAAACTACGACATGCTGGCGCTGCCATGTTACACTAAGTACGACTACTAAACTTATGCTTCATCTTGCTCGCAAGACGAGCTGCGGAGCTAAGGTTGTAGAACAACAAAAAACGAAAAGAAAAGCGGCAAGTCGCTTGTCCAGCCGCGTGAACAGGATCAAGCGCGAGCTGGATAAGGTGGGATGGTGGGAGGAGGTGGACAGCCAAGACGAAGAAGCCAAGGACGACAGCGAGAATGACAGCATGGATGGCAACGAGCGAAAGCGCCGTCGCGTCTGGATAACGGCATCAGACAACCTGAAGCGCGCGAAGGACTTGGCTTCGGTTACTGGTCAACCATTGTTGATCTACGCTAAGTATGCATATAATATTAGTAGCTAAAATAGTATTATTGATACCGTAGCATAGGTACTATTAATTAATATTGTTCAAGTTGCTAATTAAATTGTACAGGTGCTAAATTTTGGTCAGAAACCTAAAAACAGTAATGGATGAAAGCTGCCTAATAATGGTCGGTTTTCAGCTATAATAAGCTAAATAAAAACTGGAAAATGGTCACAGTTAGCGGATTCATTTTGAGTACCTCGAATTTCTACTAGTGGGTTATATTAACTAGCCTAGGTTCCTAAAATCCCTTGCATAGTAAACTCCACTTTTAAACTGTTCGTTTATTACAAATTTGGGTTTTTAAAAAATGAAGTTGAAGTGACATTATGCATTACCAAGTTCTCGTTTTAAGGGTTTATCTAATGTCTGCACGCTTCCTGTTATCACCGATGTTCTTTTCATCAGTTTCTGACCTTGGCTATCTTTCTCTTGTACTTCGGCTTTGGGCCAGGCTTCAGACCGCGTTTACCTAACTCGAGTGGCTCAGACTGAATAGGAGGAGTCATTCACGTAGTATCCTACTTCAAAGTCACGTCGGCCAGGATAGGAAAGCCACTGAGTACGTTTCTTTCAAATGGTGAATGGACATTCGTTCCGCGTTGTAAAGAGATTCCAAGCTCTGTCCTGCCAATTTCCACACGTGCACTCTCTTGCAGACAGGTCGACCAAGCGCCAGGGGTGAATGTGCCCAGGGATTTTCACTTTGCCGAGAAACATGACGTTGTAGGCACCGTCCATACACGAAGTAGTTTTGCACATGTCACTGGCAACTACCAGCTTTTTGCGTTCAGATGCGAGAAGTGGGACCAAATCTGTGCCAGGTGTTTTGGTCAACCAATGCGCAGCTAGCTGGCGCCTGTTCGAAACAATTCACTGAGTTTTCGGAAATACAGAGCAAAAGTTTCGAGTGGTTTAGCGCTTCGGCAATCATTTCCAATCCAATTGTTTGCCTGTTCGGCAAGATTCGAGGTAGTTTCATCATAGGTGGGTAACTTGAAAACTTCTTAATATCTAAATTTAACGCAGTGGATTTGGTCGATACTTTGAAGATATTCTACCGCGCCAGGTTGGTTACCGCTAGTTTCTTCTCATACAACTTGTAGTCATTCTCACAGTCGTTTCTTGCCATGTCGTTAATCAGCCCTCGCTCCTTTCCGGTCAAAGTGATCCCTTTGCTGTTTATGTTGCTCTTGATGTGTCGTAGACAGAAACGATGTCCAGCCCGCGTGAACACTTCAGCAACCGCAGCGAGTAAACCTTTCTGCCGATCGCACAAAGCTGTGAAACATTCCAATTCACCCAACGACTCGCGAGCATTCTGAAGAAACCAAAGCCAGTGGTTGTAATTCTCCACGGAAACCAGGCAAAAGGCAAAAGGAAGGATGTGGTTGTTGAAGTCCTTTGCAGTGGCCACTAAATAAACCTCATAACTGATCATTTCGCTCTTGAGATAAGATCCATCAAATCCAAAAAGCCTCTTGGACATTTTGGCGACCCTCGTCGCAAAGTTCGAAATAAAGCACGCTCGCTTAGAAGTACCGTCAATATCTTTCTCGAATTTCCAAATAGACCCTGGGGTTTTCTCCGCCATTAAGTTCAAGTAACTCCAGTTTCTGGTAACTGGTGAGGCGTTCAGTGGCATTGGCTGCTTCCATAGTGAGCTTGATCAGGGAAATAGCCGATGCGGATAGCTTGAATCCTCTCCCGATTACGAAATCAGAGATCACAACTCCAGTCATTCGCTCTGTTTTGCCCTCATACATTGGAAGCATCTCTACCTCAATCAGTCGTCTGATTTCCAATAGATTCTGGGTGTTATTTCGCATGTCTTTAAGTGGACGAGGGATTGTACCTTCCGCCACCGGTCGACTTGAAAACCCCACTTGACGAACGTGGTTATGGCAACACTTCCCACGTGTCACCTTCCAAAACCCCTCGATACCACACGCATTGAATAAAAAGGGACAAACAACATCCTCCAAGCTGACTTCCTTGTCGAAAACCTGCTGACCGTATAGTTTCTTGCACGCATACTTGGCGTTCTCAATCCCGTTTCGCTTACTGCAGAAACTTTTCACTAACAGTTGGAAAACACAGCTCTGGGCAAATTCTTTGCATTGTAGGCAGGTGCCCTGTCGCGTGCGTCCCGCAGTTACGGCCGTTACGGTGATCGACCTCACCGGAGAATGATGTGGAGCACACGAGGACGGACGGTGGCGAGAGGGGTACGACAATGATGGGTTGGTGGTGCCAGCTAGTCAGTGGACTGCTGGCACAAACGTGAGGTCCAGGTTGAAGTGAGACGAATATAGAAGATCGCGGGGAGGACGACGTAGGTGGAGGCGACTGAGAATGAGTATGAGATCCCGGCGAGGCGACGCTGGGTGCGCAGCGTGTGGCTGTGAGGCCGCCGGGGAGCAGATGAGTGCGAAGAGGGAGAGGTCCAGGTGGCGCCCGTAGAAGGAGTAGCGAAGGATAGTTAGGCGGAGTAGGGAGCTGCGGTCTGACAGCTCGACTCAGTTGCGATTTGACACGAAGAGAGTGACAAGTTAAGGCTAAATATACGGGCGTGCACCGGACGGAGAACA